AAAGTAGCTGAGGATTTTGGAGCATATCATTAAGCACATGAAGCAAGAGGCTCATTAAGCAACACCTCATCCCTCCTTGATAGTATTGGCTTTTCCTATGGACTCAATGTGATCTTGGATCACTAAAATGTAAAATGAAGAGTCTTGAGCTTGAAGCTTTAGCCAATCCTTTGTCCTTAGCATCTTGAAGGAGTTCCCACAACCTTTAGTCCATGCCACTCCATTGTTGAACTTATCTGAAACATGCTAGATAGAAATGTTAGTCTAACAAGAGATATGTTGTCATAAATTATCAAAACCACCTAGGGAGCACTTGTGATTTCAACTGTGCTGCATTTCCCCTCCTCTTCGGGGAAAATCCCAACACAGCTCACAAGTAGCAACCGCCCTTGTCGAGTACTGCTCGGATAAATCGGGACTGGCCGACATCTAGGATTTATCCCTAGTCATGCAAATGACAAAATAGACAACCCCACAATTATGGACATGTTTTTTGTTCACAAGCAATGAATTTCCAGATTGCACGGATCAGAAGCCATAGTGGCATTTCGCCAAAACGTTGACGATGAAGGGATTACGAGGGAAGTCTGCCAACAACGTCTTAGGACTTTTGCCGAACTCTCTGACCTAGTGACAAAATATTGCATCATGGACAATGCCTGGATAACCAATCAATGGTGCTAAAACCCTAGCTCGGATTTAACGGAAGCGGAATAAGGAAGTGTATGCTCACGCGTAAGTCGTAACCGACGGTCCAGGCGTAACAACACCAATAAGTTTGACGAGCAGCATTCATGAAAGAGAAACCGCTTGAATAATGTTGGAGCCAAATCGCAACCGGATACTATACTCGATGAGCCATGTGCAATTCACTCCACCTCTTTGGATAAACTGGTCTCCCATAAACTTAGGAACTGTTGGATCCTCGGGCAGGTGGCGAAAGGAGGACTAGAGTTCCTCGGCAACCCCAACACCCATATAGGCTGAGGTGTAGCAATCAACCACAAACCAAGGGAAGCACCCACCCCGAAGCCAGTGATGCCCTTATGATATATGAGACCCACTCCTCAAGAAATCAATGGAAAAGAGCTCTTCGAGTGATGCCATGTTGACTGTACGACAACTTCTGAAACATATGGTCTGAGATTCTGATCACCTTTGATCATCAAGATCAATCGATAGGAGTCCACGGTCAAGGAGTTGTGGCTCTCATCCTCGACGGTTATCATTTGTCCAGAGTCCTGATGGATGGAGGCAACAGCCTCAACCTCATCTACGAGGATACTCTTCAAAAGATGCAGTTTGATAGATCTCACATCCAGCCGAGCAGGACCACGTTTAAAGGAATAGTCCCCGGAAAAGAAGCATGGTGCACTGAAGGTTATGCTTGATGTGGTATTCGGATTGCCTAATAACCACACGGTTGAGGAGTTAATTAACCTTCGACATAGTTCCAATCCGTAGTGGCTACCATGCGCTGCTCAGACAATCCGCTTTTGCTAAGTTTCACGCTTTACCCCATTACGCATATATGAAACTAAAGATGTCGGGGCTAAACAATGTGATTACAATAAAACAGCAACCGTGATCGGTCGCTTCGAGCCGAGAACGAGACTACAACTCTGGCCCATGAGGCCGAATCTGAAGCCTTGGCAGCCGAGGAGTTATTCAAGCTACGGATGATTGTTGACAAGGATGATGTTCTCGCTAACGCTCCAAGTCAACATCTTTCAAACCAGTGAACGAAATTGTCAAGTTCCAAGTTCATCCCGATGACTCATCTAAAACAACCTCTAATGGAACTAGCATGGATGCCACGCTGGACGAGGCACTCCATGGTTTTTTTCAGGAAAATAGACATATTTTCCCAACACCCTTCTGATATGCTAGGCACCTCGAGGAATGTTGTTGAACATAGCCTTAGCAACATTGTCAGATTTAAATCAGTCAATCACGCACTACGGAGGTTCTCTAAACCCAAATGACAAGCCATGCGGGAGAATTGGCCAAAATGCTGGAAGTCGGATTCATCTGAGAAGTCAAACACCCTGATTCATTCGCAAACCTGGTTATGGTGTCGAAAAAGGACAAGTCTTGATGCCTCTGTGTCGACTTCAAGGACGTTAACAAAGCTTGCCCAAGGACCCATTTCCTCTACCTCGGATTGACCCGATCGTCGACGCCATGGTTGGACATGACCTGTTATGCTTTCTAGACGCATACTTGACATACCATCAAATAAAGATGAAGGAATCTGACAAGGAGGCAACTACTTTCATTACCCCCTATGGTCCGTTTCGCTTCAACACCATGCCATTTGGGCTAGAAAACATTGGCGCTACTTATAGTGAATGATACAAACTTGCCTACACCTACAGATCAACAGGACTGCCGAAGCATATGTGGACAATTGGTCGTGAAGACCAGGCATGCACACACACTATTTGATGACTTGCGTGAGACATTTAAAAACCTCCATGCATATAACATCAAATTAAATCCGAAAAAGGCGTTTTTGGCGTCCCATCCAAAAAGCTCGTCGACTTCATTATCTCTTGACGAGGGAATGAAGCAAACCCTAACAAGATTAGTAGGTATCACCCCTTTCCCGACTGCTTAAACAGACCAAGGGCATCAAGTGGACACCCGAGCTCCGCTCTAGAGGAAATTAAAATACATCTGGCCACTAATCCCATCTTAGCCGCTCCTCACCAAGTGAGCCAATGTTGCTATACATCTCGGCAACCAACCAAGTGTCCTAGACATCGAGCACGACATGGAAGGGCGCAAGTTAAAAGTGCAAAGGTCGATATACTATGTTTCGGAGGTACCCACCCAGTGTAAAATGAGGTACACGCATTACTATAAGATAGCCTATACAATTTTTATGGCTTCTCGGAAACTCCAACACTATTTTCAAGAATGCTCGGCAACAGTGGCTTCCGAGGTACTGCTTAACGACATCATCAATAATCGGGACGCCACCAGTCGCATTGTGAAGTGGGCCATTGAGCTCCTCCCATTCGAAATCCTTTATCGACCACGCGGGCTATCAAATCCCAGGTGTTGGAAGATTTTGTGGCAGAATGGACGGAAGCCGAGCTCCCTAAAGAGCACACAAATTATTCTAACTGGGTAATGTACTTCGATGGGTCTAAAATGCTCGCTGGAATAAGAGTTGGGGTGGTTCTCATCTCACCCATAGGCGAAACCATGAAGCACGTACCCCAGATCATGTACACCGACTCCAACAATGCAAAGGAATATGAGGCACTACTCCATGGACTTTGGATTGCAGTATCCATGGGTATCCAACATCTAGAAGTCCGAGCCGATTCCAACCCTGCGATCTCCAAGATCAATGGCGATTTCGATGCCAAGGACCCCAAAATGTCAGCCTACAGGGACACATTAATAACCATGTCAGCTCATTTTGAGGGTTTAGAGTTTCATCACATCTGGTGGGACAACAATCAAGTTGCACACACGCCGTCAAGGATGGGTTCATGACGTGAACCCATACCCCAGAACTCATAGTTTAAAAAACCGAATAGGAAATCAAACCGATAAAGCTATCAATTTAGGTTTTTACAGATTGGACCGCTTGTTCACCAGTTCGATTGTCACTTATTAAGCAATAAAATAATAAATTTACCAATAAATACACCAATCAATAGATAAAAAATGATTAGTGGGAGATGACCGTAAGGCGTCCTGGTCCTCCTATTTGGATGCTCCTGGTCCAGACTCTGGATCAGAGCGGAGGGAGATTGGAGTTAGACGTACCAGTCCGACCAAGCGGCGGCGATTCCTCTTCCCAGCTTTCAACATAGGTGGCGCAGGACGACGCGATGCGGGAGTGGCAGCATGGACTGGTGGCCTGGTGCTGCCGTGCAGAGCGGTGAGGGGGAGGCGGCGTCGACGCATCAGGGCGCCCGGCAAGAGTTGCGCCAGAGGGGGGTGGCTGCGCCAGACGGGGTTTGTCTGTGGACAAAATCGAGAGAAATGGTCCCAATTCGGCCGAAACCCTACCAAAAGAGGGGTTTTCTTCCTTTTCCGATCCTACCCCCAGCTTGTTCGCACAAAAACGAGTCAATTGAGGGGCCTTTTCAAGAAATGACATCCAACCATCCAGTTTTCTATGAACCGCCCGTTCATTGGTTTTTAGAAAAACCAGCGGTTCAATCTACTTTTTTCCGTCCGACCGCAGGTCCGGTTTGGTTTTTTAAACTATGCTTGGAGACCATTACAAGGGTTTCAAGATCATAAGTATGCTGGGCGGCTTTGCTATCAAAATATTGTCAAATATTGATGAAATGGACGGCGTAGAATAGGTCATGGACGTCCAACTATTTGTGTGGGTTTTTGTTTCAAAGAGCCATCCGCAATTCTCAATGGCGACCCTATCGTATTTCCAATTTGCGTTTACTTGAAAAAAAGAAAACAATGCACACTCCAAACAGCCCCACAGTCCACGCTCACGTGCCCTCCGAAGTCGCCACTTGGCGGTGCCACAATCCCTTGCTTAACAACCACGCTCGAAGGGCAATCCCGTCATTCCACCCGGGTCCCGCTCCTCCCACCCGAAAAATTTCAAAATCCGGAAGACCCCAACGGGCCACCCGACGCCAACGCGAGCAGAGCCGCCCGATCCTCCTCATCGGACGGCGAGGCGCCTCGGCCGTCCGATCCGGTGCCCTAGCCCCACGCGCCGCTATAAAAAACCCGCCCCCATTTTGGCCTCACCAAGAACAACACACACGCTCTCTCCCCCAACCCAACCCAATCCCCGTCCCCCCTCACTCCCCCACGCGCGACGCGACCGCTTCAATCCTCTCCCAAGGTAACGCCGCAACCCAATCTTCCCTCCGCTCCTCAGTTTTCCGGTGGATTTCGTTGGGTTCTCCGCGACTAGTTTGCTTCGATTTGTTCGGGATTTAAGCTGTGGTTTCCGACGGATCTGACGCGGAATCCCGGCTCGATTCTGCAGGGAGGCGAAGATGAGGGAGATCCTGCACATCCAGGGCGGGCAGTGCGGGAACCAGATCGGGTCCAAGTTCTGGGAGGTGGTGTGCGACGAGCACGGCATCGACCCCACGGGGAGGTACGTCGGCACCTCCGACCTGCAGCTGGAGCGCGTCAACGTCTACTACAACGAGGCCTCGTGCGGCCGCTTCGTGCCGCGCGCCGTGCTCATGGATCTCGAGCCCGGCACCATGGACTCCGTGCGCACGGGGCCATACGGCCAGATCTTCCGCCCCGACAACTTCGTCTTCGGCCAGTCCGGCGCCGGCAACAACTGGGCCAAGGGCCACTACACCGAGGGCGCGGAGCTCATCGACTCCGTCCTCGACGTCGTCCGCAAGGAGGCCGAGAACTGCGACTGCCTGCAAGGTACTTTCCCCTTTCTTCAGGAGTCGCTCCGGTTACCCCGTTCCGCAGATTCCGGCGAGCGGTTCTGACTTTTGCTCGTGTGCTTGTCGTCAGGCTTCCAGGTGTGCCACTCCCTCGGCGGGGGCACCGGTTCCGGCATGGGCACGCTGCTGATTTCCAAGATCAGGGAGGAGTACCCGGACCGGATGATGCTCACCTTCTCCGTGTTCCCATCCCCCAAGGTGTCTGACACCGTGGTCGAGCCCTACAACGCCACCCTCTCGGTTCACCAGCTGGTGGAGAACGCCGACGAGTGCATGGTGCTGGACAACGAGGCGCTCTACGACATCTGCTTCCGCACCCTCAAGCTGACCACACCTAGCTGTAAGCAGATCTGTGACATCAAGTTATATTACCTGCTTGTGGTGAATTATAGCACTGGACAGTCAGCTGTAGGAGAAGCTCGTTTGTCGATTGTCATATTGTGGTAGTTCTGTTTCGGTGATACAAACTGACTGCCTGTAGTGTCTGAAAATGCTGTCAGCAACCTGTCCTGACTGGTTGATGCCATTAGTTACTTATATCATCTGACAACCATCTAAGTAGTGACTTCTTCTTTTTACGTTGAAGAAGTTAATTTTCCAAGTGTCATACCTTGCAAGTTTTATTTTGATCGTATGAACTGACTGCAGCCTGTAGTGTCCACAATGCAATTACCAACTTATTCCAACTGGATTGATGCCATGTTGGAAGCTGAATTTGTTTTATCTGCCGGGAACATGTTCGTTCTAGAGATGATATTTTGTAGTTGGTGCTTTTAGCTTGTTTGAGCGCTGAGATTAGATGTAGTTGGAGTGATTTTTGTGCTCTGTACATAGGTAGCTAACCACCTGTCATTAAGTAATGATGGGAAAAGGTGTTTAATTATTAAACTGATAAATGCTGGTAGATGTAGTGTGACTTCAGAGTGGTTGTTCTGTTGTAGCTTTCTCAGCACCTTGATGTGATGCATGCTATTTGCTTGAATTGAACCTAGACATCATTACGCACAGTTTTTCTAATCTGAGTGAAAGTGACCCTGATTCCACTTGATAAGACTATACATATTAATTTTGTTAGTTAGGTTTGCTGCTAGTCCATTTTCGTTGAATATTTTCCTGCTGAAGTGTAGGTTGTGGTAAGAAAAAATTCCAGCTAATATGGTAGTTGCTTGTTAAATACTCCTTATTATGCCAGTATTGCTGATCTGTGAATCTTTGCCTTTTTGTTGACAGTTGGTGACCTGAACCACTTGATCAGTGCCACCATGAGCGGTGTCACCTGCTGCCTCCGCTTCCCGGGACAGCTGAACTCAGACCTCCGCAAGCTCGCCGTCAACCTGATCCCCTTCCCGCGCCTCCACTTCTTCATGGTGGGCTTTGCGCCGCTCACATCTCGTGGGTCGCAGATGTACCGCTCCCTCACTGTCCCTGAGCTCACACAGCAGATGTGGGACTCAAAGAACATGATGTGTGCTGCTGACCCACGCCATGGCCGCTACCTCACAGCCTCGGCCATGTTCCGTGGCAAGATGAGCACCAAGGAGGTTGACGAGCAGATGATCAACGTGCAGAACAAGAACTCTTCCTACTTCGTGGAGTGGATCCCGAACAACGTCAAGTCAAGCGTGTGTGACATCCCACCACGCGGCCTCTCCATGGCGTCCACCTTCATTGGCAACTCCACCTCCATCCAGGAGATGTTCCGGCGTGTGAGCGAGCAGTTCACCGCCATGTTCAGGAGGAAGGCTTTCTTGCATTGGTACACTGGTGAGGGGATGGACGAGATGGAGTTCACTGAGGCCGAGAGCAACATGAACGACCTTGTCTCTGAGTACCAGCAGTACCAGGACGCCACTGCCGACGAGGAGGGCGAGTACGAGGAAGAGGAAGACCTGGAGCAGGAGTAAGATCGGTGACAAATTCATCTCTCCGTTTATGTGGTATTGTGGTTTTCGTACAACTGGAGCTTGTTACTAGTAGAGACTAGAGAGTACCATGGCTACAACTCTGCTGCTTGTTTGCGTGTCTTGGCATGTATTGGATTTGTACTGCGTTCGTATGTAGGCATGTTCACTCGATGCTATGTTTCTTTGCTTGAATTATTTATTCTATGTGAGGTTTCAAGCAAGTGGATTTGAAATACAGTACTAGAATGCTTTGAAGTTTGAACGATGATGTCCTGTCCCTGATTCGGTTCACCTGAATTGAAATTTCAGTGTCAGTCTACTCGCTGCAGAACTTGAAAATCTCGGATTTGTGAGAAATATACATGTTTGTGATGGAAGCAGATTGTAGTTTCTTTGATATATCTTTTACTTGTACTGCTTCTTAAAATTCAGCTTTGCTTCAGAAAACACAAGCCAAACGGGATAGTTCCATGATATTGCCGCTTAAAAAAACTAAAATCTAGAAGCTGGATTTGAGGGAAATTACACACCACTGCCACCACTAAATGGACCTTCGTTTCTCCCCCTTAATTAAACTAGCGCACGTCTTTTGTTTGCCAGGCCAGGGCGAGTAGTTCTCTCCTTGATGAATTGACTGTTGTCGCCGAATTGCTTGATAAAAAAACAATTGTTCAACTGTTCTTCTTTAGATTGCACCATTAAATTAGTGGTGCTATTTCACAATTAATTTGCATCCAGTTTCTTGATATTTAATTTTGTAGAAGATATGTATTATTCAATTTAGGAAATGAGATGTATTAGTCTATGTCAAAATATAACTATATCTACTTAGAAAAAAATAGGATATCGCCATACCATGGTAAACAACGGACTACACAGCTAGCAAGTTAGGTTGTCATAGGCGAAATATTTCCTTCTTCAAAATTCTCGCAAGGAACCATAAGTGAAATCATGCTGGAAAAACTTGGCTTGAGAACTCAACTAATTGCGCCTTTGATAAAGTGCAAAACATAGAGATACAAAGGGCAATTTGAGAAACATAATGTCCTTTCTTTGCACACAACTCCATAGTTCTTTTTTAGATCATAACTCCATAATTTTTTTAGATCATAACTCCATAATCCCATAACAACATAAACACAATTCCCATAGTACGCAAGTTGTGTATTAAGATACTAAGACTACCACTCAGTTTACCGCCCAGTCTTTTGACAAATTTCAACCAGGGGTTCGCTCTGACAGGCCCATCAGTTTCTCATATGTATGCTGGCATCGACTTGCTTTGTACTCCCTCCATTCCAAAATAGACGACTCAACTTTGTATTAACTTTAGTACAAAGTTAGTACAAAGTTGGGTCATCTATTTTGGAACGGAGGGAGTAGTTAACAGGGCCCAGACTTTGGTTTCTTGATCCCGATGGGTGCCTATCTGTATGTATTCTACTTCTTGGGGCATGAAACCTTCTCCTTGGGGCAAAGAAGTATAAGCTCAATGCAAATAAAAAATGCATACCCCCAAGCACAAGCACCATGAAGAGGAATTGCCCCTTCTTCATCTTTGCACTGTAAGATTGCTCCTCCTTGCCGCAAAAGCTGAGCAGCGTAAAAGGTTCAGAAAGACAGAAAAATATTCAAGATAGCAATGCAAACCTGCACACAAGGTACACGGCCATATAAGCATATCAGGTGAAGCACAATACCTCATCAGAAGACTTGCAATTCAGCTGTTGTAGCCTGATACCTGCCACCACCTAATACTCTCGTCAGTTTTTTGTCGGGCCTAGGGATCATAACTATTGCAATTTCATTATTCGATATGCCTTTAACATTACAAAAAATCAAAACAAAAAGAACTCTGCAGGAGCACAAGCTACATGCCAATATGATTTTTGCCTTAACTTGAAAGGAATGGTAGAAGCAAACAGTTCTCCAGTCAGTTTTTATTTTCTTTGAATAAGTACTTATAAATTCTAACACTTTTTTGCTAGTAACAGAACATCATGTCTTAGAAAGAAGCTTTGTTTTCTATGCCACCCACCATGGAACATATATCAACCAGTTAATAATTAATGCACCTTTGCTTCTAAGTAAGACATAGGAATAGTGTTTGTTTTTGGTGCAAGGGCAAACGGCTAACCACATATCAAAATCAAGTAAGGCTTAAAAAATGTCAGCACAATGCCTTCTGCTTTAGCATAACCTGATGAATACGAAATAAAACAACCTTCTCTAAATGTGAAAAGCAGCAAATTGGAGCATTTCAGAAGCATATTTCTGTTTGACTCAAATGACATGTGAACAATGCCTAAATTCATAGAAGATAATTGCCAAGTTTGGACGCAAATTTAATTCATACCCAAACCTTGCAATCAGGTATAGACCATCAGAACCTCATCATTCCCATACCAAAAACACCTCACAGTTCACATGCATCAGAGCTGAAGCCAGTTTATTCAACAACAATGAAGGCACTAATCGGCGACTAATCCACTCACCCTCCTGCAGGAAGTTGAAAAGCATGTAGTTAAAACGTGTTGTTTGTTCTGCGATCAAATTTAGATGGAGTACTCTTCACTTGCATAGATACAACAACTCTGATCTCTAAAACCTAACCACAATAGCAAGGATCTGGATAAAATGGAGGCAAAACTTGAATTCAACCTAGGCGACGTGGGCGCTCTCCTGACTTCTACGTGGTGTCAAGCTATGCCGTGTACGTTGTTACATCCAAACTGTAGTTAGTTTTCAGTTCTTCTGTATCAATCTGACAACATTAAGATAAGCCAGATGCCCAGATCATCATGACACATTGTCAGAGAGACAAATAGCATGTTCTCATGATGAATTTAGAGATGCCGTTGTGAATAATTATTAGCAGTTTCATAGTTATATAATGTGTGAAGTAGATCAGATATAGGAAACTTAATAAGAAAAAATGCTTGAAACGAAAGAGTTTATGTTATTTCTCCCTGATAACTGTGAGTTTAGTGAACCAATATATCTGGTTTGTGTTTCGCAGTCTAATTCTGTACATGCTTACATAAATTGGGTCAGCCAAAAACAATGGTGAATTGGTGAGCAACATTCTTAAACAATATGAGCCTCAACCTTGATGAGACATCGAAACAGTGATTTTCAAAATATAACTCTACATAATGTACAATGACACTGAAGAATTACAGTTTCCATCTATCTCTCTCACAGCATGCACGTTCATTCAGCATGACATGGGTACAATATGGATAGCTCAAAAAACAAACTAAGAATTTCAAAATGATGTGAAGAAAAAATTGGTCAGAACTGCAAAAGGAGATGATCTCAAAGTTATTTTACACTAACCACTCACCCTCTTAACATCAGGTAAGGTTATCAACTAACAGACTTGCCAAATTAACACTTATGTATCTTTTATAAATGAAAACAGTAGTACTTTCTCGTATCAGATGACACTTTTATCTGACTTGCCGGCTAGCTGGACAGACAAAGCATCAACAGTTAGTTTTTTGTTCTTCTGTATTAGTCTGACAACATTAAGAAACATAAAGTGCAAAAGAAATAAATTTAGTTTTTCTGTTGTGTGAGAATAAGGAAAGAACAGAGAAACAATAAAGCTATTCTTGCCTTGCTGATCTGAAAATAGCAGATAAGTTGTTGGAGCTTAGTTGATTGTCCTCATAATCCTACTGTAAATTGACTTGTGCATCAACCTAACTACTTATGCATGTCTATCTAGCTGTGTACAATTAAGCATGCGAAAAAAAACACATTTTAGGCATCAGTGCCAACTGATCCCTCAAATATGATATTAATTCTACAAATGGAAATGATAAGGTTTGTTTTTCTCAAGCTGAGGGTATAAGATGCAAGAATAAAGAGATAATGTTAGTCTTTGTTCGTCATCTGAGAAGCAGGTAAACCAGCTATACTAAATCCAACTGAAAAGGCCAACAATAATAAATAGGTAAGCTGCTCACTGCTCACGGCTTCATGCATATATTCCGCATGGCTGCCACGGTCTAATTGCACTTGAATCAAACAAAGCAACTTCACATGAGTCACCAATGACATCACTGAACACATCATACATAAGTCAAAAGGATGCAACATACATGGACAGAACAATATGCATAGAAAAATGGCAGGTGCATATCCCATACTTAACCACTACCAAAATACCAAATAACGTTGATCCGATCTAATCAAACTCTACTCCTTCCAGCAACAAGCTACATTTGAACTGAATTGCACAAGCAACTAACCTTCTAACCTTCTTGAAAACCTGGATCACCTCCCTGAACCTTGGGTGTACATTAGGGCTTCTCTCCATGGGCCTGTTCAAAATCATGTGAACACAGTTAGAGCATCTACTTTAGTTCAGCTAAATATGGTACAACCAAGTATATATATCCTATATAGAATTCTGAACTTCTAACTGCCTTGTCATTCTTTTTATTCCAATGTACCGAGCTTGATCTGGTTTGAGGGCTTCTAGATCATGTTTAGAAATGTTATCTTGTAAACATTTTTAAGCAAGAACCAGGGAACTTAGTGTAGTTACAAAGACACCATGTCTGACCAAGCACCAATGCCAGCTCTAAATGCAGTCACCATTTTTCAGCAGGAACTTAGTTCATGTACAATCCGAAAACATGCACTTAAGTTCCCTTCCATCCTGCAATCCAAACAACATGCACGTAAGTTCCCTTCCATATGCAATCTAAGAACATGTACTCAAGCAGGCTAGTCTAAAAATCTGCACTTAAGCAGCTCTAATCCGTCTCTGCTCCAGCTCTTTCCTTAATCCACCACCTGCTCCAGCTCCTTCCTCAATTTGCCTCGAATCCCTTGTACCACATATCCTGAAACAAATCATCATCAACAAACTTTAGTATCTTCGATGGAGAATTATGGAGGTATACGCTACCGCGAAGTACCGACCTGAAGTTGAGTAGTGGCCTTAGAGACATAGATCTAAAACTGGTAAGCTCAATAGTTGGTAAGAAACACTCATATAATTAGAGAAAATGTATGTAAACTTTTTAAGTTAGCAAGTGCTATCAGCTAGCACCATGGCCGTCTCTGATTGTGTTTGTCGAACATGCTACAATATAGTACAAAATAAATAATTTTGATGAATACAGAGTAATAATGAGTGAGCGGAAGTGTTAAGCTTAATCAATAAAAAGCCTAAAGCTCTCCAGCCGAGCCTAGACCTGTCATGTAAATGTATCATATTCTGCCTACACATTATGCATACCAATCTCTTCGTCGTCTCGACCTACACCGCTAACTTATTAAAATCCTATCCATCAAAATTTATCTCATGACAGTATCTAGCACTTGGTCTTACCTGGCTATGTCTGCCGGTCTGGCCGTCACATGGCCCTCCTCCGGAGAAGCACGCGTCAGCGCCGTTCAGGCCGTCCATGGTGCAAGACCAGAAATAAGGAGGTGCGAGACCAGAAATTCATCCGGCAACAACTACCATTTTTCACAGTTGGAATAAGTTAACAACCGCCACATCGAACCTGTGCTAAAATACATGACCCACCTTCAGTTGCCTGGCTAACTATGGACACGTGAAATGAGTAAGAGAAGATTGATAATTGCATAACCATGAAATTACAACAAGAATAATTCAGGAGAGGGAAGCTACTGAACCCCGTTACATAGGAACAAATTCAGCTTGTCATTTGATTCTTGGCATGGAATGGGATGCCAAATTAAAAATTGATTTATACAACCAAAATTGGACACATTTATGAAAATCAAATTAACTTTCAATGTATTCATATTCTGGAAATCGTCATGTAAAACTATGACCACTCATGAGAACATATATATAGAGAGACAAATCAAACAACATGACAGGTGCTAGATTGGGTGTCATGACTAATTTACAATTATTGGTAGAGGAACAGATCATAATTTCTTTGCTAAATGGGAAAAAACAACTGTTTCATCAGTGATGTATGGCAGTGACTTACTATTACCAGTTAACTAATGTCATCATGCAGACATAGAAATACGAATTAAAAAAAACTTGTCTCATGGATGCCTCCTTATGCCTATGCTCCTCCGACAGGTGCTCGGATCCAACAGCATGTCCTCTTCCTGCAGGGAATCAGTACAGATACACATGTGTGTGAGAGAAAGTAGATCCAAAAGGAAGAACACAGAGGGGTGCTGTCCTACGTACCTCTTCCACAATCCACAGTGTGTGCGTCTTCGCTGTGCTCTCTCTCTCTCTCTCTCTCTCAACCGCTTATTTAGATCCAGACCGAGCATGGGGCAGATTTCGCACAGTGCGACGGAAAAGAAGAAAAACCGGGCAGCGAGGGGCGGCGTGCTCCAGTGTGGGCCGTGCGTGTCAGGCCACGCTGCAAGGCAAGGCGTTGCGGGCGGGCGAGAAGGAGGCACTGAGGAGTAGGAGGACGACGGGGTGGGCGCTCTTGGGGAAGGCGGTGTCGCGCGGGGAGGAGCCGAGGAGCGACATTGTCGCGTGGGTAGGAGGGGCAGGCGACGTCGCATCGGCGGGCGGCGGGGAGCGGCGATGCTTTCGGCTAGTTGGTGTCGCGAGGACGGCCGCGACTGCCGGGAAACGCCCCCATCCAACCCCGCGCGCCAGGCGGCCGTCGGAGCCCGCTCGCCGGCGAGCACCTCCTCAGCCGCCCCCAGGACTCTCCTTCTTTTCCCCTCTCCTCTCCCGAAGATGCGCCGCCGCCCGAGTCGGCTTGACCCGCATCCACGGCTAGCATCCCAGGCGACCTGTCGCGCGACGAACCTGCCACCGCTCGCCAGCCCAACCGTCCGCCCGCATCTCTAGCGAACGGCATATGGCGGGAGGGCGGCTAGCGAACGACGGGAGGATGGGGGAGGCCAAGCCGAGAGGAGGAGGATGCGAGCGGCGAACGGCGGGAGGCGGCGGGAGGATGGGCGGCCCGCCCGTGCTGTGGGGAACGACTGGTGTGCGGGCATGGATGAGGAGGAGCGGACGGAAGTCCTTTTTTTTTCTTTTGGCGGGGCGAGCGGGCGGAAGTCGTGCGGGCGTGGTGCGCACATTGCGCAGCGGTTTTTTTTTTGCGAACGGCGGGGTGGGTTAGCGATGGATGGATTAGTTGATTAACCCGTGGCTTGCACGTGGCTTGCAGCGTTAAACATTAAGGCTGCGTTTGGCAGCAAGGTTTTTTTTAAGTTTTCGGAGAATACTGCGGTTTCTGAAAAAAACCATGGTTTTGAAAACTTTGATGTGTTTGGCTTCAGAAAAACTGAAGTTCTGTAAACCACAGTATCTCAGAAACCAAGGTATTTTTGCTGTTTCGAAAAAAGAGGTCCCGAGCTCTTTTTTCTAAACCGAACGGCGCAGTTGACGTCCCTGTCTATATCCAGATGAGATCGCCTCCTACTTTTCCTCTGACTATTATCTCGCTAACGAATTTGATTATATCTCCTGCTTATTAGCTGATTCTGTTTGATTCACGTACGTTCTCTTCTCTGGTGCTTCTTCTTCCAGCCGGCGTCACCTGCAAGTCTCCCTCTCCCATCTCCTCCGTCGGCCATGAGTCAATCAAGCCCGCCACCAGGGAAAAAAGGTATGCGCTCATCTATGCCCTTTCCGATGAATGCAATACTGCCACAAGGGGCGGCATATTGAATATACTCCATGCTGATCTTCCAAGGAGTAGATGTCAACATGGGCTAATACGAGGGCAGTGATTAGTTTCCAGTGATCTTCCAAGCTTCTTGCTTCTCGGTCGTGTACTTGTACGCCTGTTAATTTCCGGCAAGTAGCGCATGTCTTGAGTAGTTCATGGAGTAGATCGATTGGTCTGTCTGAAGAACACTCGTACGCACAAGGCTTTGCTAGGTAGCCAATGCAGTACCAACGGCGCACGTACACGCACATATAATTTTGGCCGGACTGAAAGTACACGCACATATAGAAAAAAAATGATGGTAACACTCCTAAGATTGCATTGCTTTAATCTAGTTGATTAATGAACTATGATGTACGTCCTGGTTAAATTAATCTTGCTATTGAACGCCGGCTGATTGATCTATTTCTTGCACTTGTCTAGTTAGCTCAGCATCTAACTGTAGTCATGTTGAGTACGTACATCATCTTTTACTTGGCGACGCATCATATTGTCTTGCTATGATTATATGTCAATCTTCAACTAACAATTAAAAAACAATTGCAGAGCCAAAAAGGGACAGAGCAGCATGGACTAATGGTCGCTTAGCTTTTCTAGTGTCAATGATGAAAGAGTACTCAGATGTGGGGAAGTACCGTGGCCAAAATGGATGGACAAAGGAAGGATGGCAGGCTATGAAAGACCGATTAAATGCGAGACCTCATGGAGCTAATTTTACTGTTCAACAGCTGAAAGATAGGGAGCAAAGGCTGAAGAAGGAACTGAATGTCGTCAAGTCTATTGTGGAAAAGAGTGGATTTGGTTGGGATCCCAAGAACAAAGTTCCAACGGCTTTAGATGAAAAATGGGAGGAGCTATCAACTGAACATCGCAAGTGGAGGCACAAACCATTCCCATACTATGATGTTCTATATGAAATTCATGAAGGTTTGTTTCTGGCAATGATTAAAATTAAGAAGTTACTCCTATCATGTCACTTATTAGTCACCTAATTTGTATGCAGGTAAAATGGCAGAAGGCAAGCGTTGCAAAAGGACAACTGATGGTACTGAAGAGAGGTACAAGAATATGTCCCATCTTCCTGAACATGGAACCTATACTGATGATGTTATGAGGGCTTCTAGTATGGATACTCCTGAGGCAACACTATCTGCTCCGGGATCAGCAATCCCAGAATATGACTGGGGTGGAAATATATATGGTGATGATGTTGATTTATCATATGGTGGATATTCAGAACCTCTAGGGAGTAATGAAAATCATGTTTCAGCAGTAGAAGATTTAACAAGTGTGGATTCACCTCGAAGGAAGAGGCTTCGGAATTCAAAAGGATCTGATGATGGAAGTGACAAAACTAAGGGAAAAAGAGGCAAGGACATTGTGTTGGCCAACTTGGTTTCTGTGAGGGAAGAAGAAATGCAGACTTGTAAGGAAATGAAGACAAAGCAAATTGACAGCTACAAGGAAATCAAGATGGCCCAAATGGAAAGGAATGACCCCAAAAATGATCCTTATGGCATGCCAAATTGTATTCATAAACTTAGAACATTGGGACTCACTCCAAGTGACCAACACAAGATGATTAACCATCTGAAAGAAGATATGCTAAACCGTCAAACATTCATGGAAGTAGACGATGATGTTCTTTCCGTGATTATCAAAGAAGTGGTGGCCCCGCATGTCTGAAGGTTACCAAAGTAGGAGACATTTTATTTAATCATGTTACCATTTCATTATACGTTCGTTCAGTGTCATCTTTCATGAATCGTTGCCAATTAAGTAGTATCATGTTTCTTTCTATATTGTGAATAACGGAAGCACAATAACTATATTGATTCTTTTTATTCACTCCTCGTATACAATATTAATATTCTGCTTATTTTATTGTACTCATGAGACATCCAACCTACCGGGAAAAATTTGCTAAAATATATGAATTTATTTTATTCAGTATAC